GGGGGGGGGGGAGGAAAGGGAAAAGAAGAGAACAGACAAGACACGCAGAAAGTGACTGAGGAGAAAAGTCGGTGTGTGGGTGTTGTGTTGAGGAGTGTCGGAGCGGGAGGGGAGCGGGGAAGGGAGGGATTGGGTGCCGAGGTGGGGGAGGGGAAGAAGGAAAGTACAACGTAATATGGGGGAAAGTGCCGGCGTGAGGTGATGTTGTGCAAAGTTCTTCTGTTCACTCACTCGTTGGCTCTCCTTTATCAATAACCATTCGTTCATTTGATGCGTCAAGACGAGGAATACAGTTTGTGGAAAGTGTTGAATGCAATTCTTGCGTGATGACATGACATGCAACTCGTCCGTGCTGACGTGGAAGTCAATTTGTGCCACGACTGACTGGCGTACCCGTCTTTCCCAGAATAGAACACACGGCCACCCACCTTACAATTATATGTAGCAAAATTAACGTTCGTTCTATCGGGGGAATAACATAGCTCAGTTTGTCCAACCATGAACTGTTATATTTCGAATTTTATGCATTGGATGTCTACGTACGTTTCCATTTTTTTTCAAATTCTGGTCTCTCATTGCTGAAGTGTTATGGGTTGTAATTTTGAACCATGGAAAAATTTGTGCAAGAGGTGTCATGCCCGGACGAGCTACTCTGTTAGCGCAGCATCAAGGGCGAATCTGTCGTGAAGGCGTTTGCTGATGGGGGAGGGCATATCCTCTCGAAATCGTGAGGGCCTCACTTTCTCATTATACCTGATTTGGAAAGGTTGCTTGTTTAGTGGAAGGATAACGGAGTGGGCGTCACATAATTAGCAGCGTGATTGATCGTTGGTGGAATTCTGGCCACATATCTTTTTTTGCTGGACCACAACTTGTACGACTCCATTGGGGTTGGGGGCGGGGGGGAGGAGAGAGAGAGAGAGAGAGAGAGAGAGAGAGAGAGAGAGAGAGAGAGAGAGAGAGAGAGAGAGAGAGAGAGAGAAAGAGCTTACTTCCCCACAGAATTGTGTCGATGGTGCATAGAGTGGGAAAAAAAAAGGCGGTACTGAGCCTGCGACGATTGGCCACGTGGCCACCGTATTTTCATAGTGCCCTGCTGTCATTGGCCACGTGGCCCAGTACTTGCCAGAATTTTCANGCCACATATCTTTTTTTGCTGGACCACAACTTGTGCGACTCCGTTGGGGTGGGGGGGGGGGGGGGGGGGAGAGAGAGAGAGAGAGAGAGAGAGAGAGAGAGAGAGAGAGAGAGAGAGAGAGAGAGAGAGAGAGAGAGAGAAAGTGCTTACTTCCCCACGGAATTGTGTCGATTGTGCATGGTGTGGGGAAAAAAAAGGCAGTACTGAGCCTGCGACGATTGGCCACGTGGCCACCGTATTTTCATAGTGCCCTGCTGTCATTGGCCACGTGGCCCAGTACTTGCCAGAATTTTCAGTTTCCTTTTTTGTAGTATTTGCGAAGATGCCTACATTGTCCTTCCGTTCATCTGTTTAGACGGAACCGATACGGAAAGCAGAGGAGCCGCACGGAGAAGAGGCAGAGAATGCTCTGCACATGCACAAAAGACAAAAAATATGGCGGTGTATATTTCGATGTTCTGCTGGGGATTCATTTTCAGTTTGCACATTTGGTGAGTATTTGAGCGAGTCCCTATGTTATACCATGCAACATGCACGTCAACACGGGGTAAGGATCCGCTAAGGGAGGTGGAGAAGATGGATGTGGAGGTGGTGTGTGGAGGAGTCTCGAGTAGTGATTTGTCTGAAGTCAGGGTCGGCAGTTCGAGTTTGCTGCTAGAGAGAAGAAAAGAAAGAGGAAAAAACGATTCAAAGGTCTTTTGCCAAGGAAGGGGAAGGGTTCGCTGAGGGAGCTGGAGAAAATGGATATGAAGGCGGTGTGTGGAGGAGGAGGAGCCTTGTGTATTGGTTTGTCTGAAGTCGCAGTTGGGAGTTCGAGTCTTCTGCTAGAGACAAAAAGAAAAATAAACAACCGAGTCGAAAGACCTAGTAGCAAATCTCTCTGTGTCTCTGTCTCTCTCTCTCTCCCTCACTCTCTCTCTCCTCCCCTTCTCCCCACCCATTCTTGCTGGCTCCCTTTGTTGTGGTCATTATGTCCAACCGGTTTTTTCAGATACATAATATTTCGATTACTCGATGATTACTCATTAATTACTCGTTGATTACTCATCCAGTACTCATTGGTTTCTCGTCGAGTACTCGTTGATTACTCGTCGAGCAGTCGTTGATTTTCTCATTATTTAATTATTAATTTAAGTAATTATTATTACGTGATGCGCCTCATCCCATACATATACGTATCATCCGGTGACGTTAAAGGGAGAAGGCACATAAGTAACTGTCCTGATGATGGCACAGTGAAACTGGTAATTAATGAGTATTTGATGAGTAATGAGCGAGGTATTACTGAGTAATTGATGATTAATTGATGACTTATCTACTGAGTAATTGATGAGTAATCAGTGAGTGATTGCTAATCCGCGAGAGGAGGAAGTAGGAAAGACAGACGGTTCTCTCTTTTAGTACCGTCTTCACCCGAATAGAACGCCTTGTCATTTGGGCTTAGTGCGATTTTTGGAGGAGCCACCGCGATAATGACCGGGCGTTCTATTCGGGTGAAGACGGTAGCTCAGTTGATACACCCCCATGGAACTGTTGAAGTACAGACCTGAGTTCGGATCCAGATGATGGAACAAGATGTGAATGAAAGCAATAAATTTCTGGATTCCCTCGGGCCTTTCAGTTTGAAAGGCGATATCTCAAGACCGTCGCCCTCTGTTTTTTTTTTTTTTTGTTTTAATTTGAAAGGCGGAAGCTCTTTTTTTTTTTTGACAAATGAAGTTATTTTTTTTTAAGACAATGGAATCATCATCATCATTATCGATAACGAATGTTGGCCATGGCTTTTTCGTTCTTTCTTTCTTTGCTCCCTCTGCTATTCTCCCGTGGTCATCATCATCATCGTCGTCATCGCCATCGCCATCGTCCTTTTCGTCTTCTTGTTGCTTCTGAGCGTGTTTCTCTGACCTCAGTGCATGCGGTTGTCCAAGTGTCACGATCCCCGTCGTCGCAATCGCCCCCAACGCCGCCATCGTCGTCGTCCTCTTTGTTTTCTTCGTCCTTCTATGCGCGTTATTCTGACCTGAGTGCATGCGGTTGTGCAAGTGTCGCCATCGCCGATCGTTGTCGTCCTCTTCGTCTTCTTTTTCCGTCTGAGAGAAGCATGCACGCAAGACAGTTTTTGGCCTTTGTTTATATCTATTCGTCTCCTCCTGCATGTCATCTTCGTCCTCGCTCTCTTCTTCTCCTCTGTGAAAGCTTACCTCTCGTTGTCTGCTTCCCGTCGCCTCTCGTTGTTTGCTTTCCGGCGTTCTCTACTTCTCGTACGCCTCTTCTTCTCCTGGTTGCCATTTTGCTGCGCTTACCTCCTCCTCCTCCTCCTCCTCCTCCTCCTTCCTCTCTTCTCCTCCTCTGGTCCTCCTCTTCCCTCTTCTTCTCCTCTCGCCCTCCTCCTACTCCCTTTTGTCTGCTCCTCTATGGATCTTCTCTCTCCTTTTCGACTTCGTGTTCTTTACTCTCTTGCCTCTTTTTTCCTTCTGATCGTTATCTTGCTTCAGCTGCCTTTTTTTTTTTTTTTCCTGAGAGGGCTTACTGCTTATTGGACATCTTGCTTAAATTTTCGCTTATATGATTTTGACTGGTGCGGGTGCAGCCACGTAATTGGTTGAAAATTGTGCGTGTGCAGCGCGATACGTGAATAATCGTTCCAAGGTCATGAAGGCGGGAAAATTGAAGCGAAGCTTTTTATCATTTCCATGAAAATTAGGGCGTTCTATTTTGGTGAAGGCGGTAGTTTGATGGTTCCAATCATATTCATGGGAAGCCGAACATGTTTTATCAGTGCCATGGAAAGAAGGGTTTTCGAGCTCTAAATTCTCCCGCTCTAATTTTCCCCCCTCTCTAATTTATATGCTCTAATTTTCTCTCTCTAATTTTCCCGCTCTCTAATTTTTCCCGGTCTCTAATTTTCCCCCCATCATTTCAACACGGGTGTCAACTGATTTTCCCGCCATTATTGGCAAGCCCCACTCTTTATCATCGTGAGAAGAGGACCAGATAGGCACCTGGTCGAAACGCATAGCTAGGGGGAATGTGCGTGTTACTGAATGTTTTGTACATGGGGAAGACTAATAAAGTTTTTAAAATTTTAATGATTCTTTCGAGAAAAAAACAGTGACAGAAGGCAACGCTGATTTTTTTTTTTTTACTTTTTCTTTTCTTATTGAACTCATCAGCGGGGCCGCACCTTTCCGCCGACAGGGATATGAGCCCATGTCTGGTGAAAGGGAACTGCGCCCTACAGTTTCCACCCGAATAGAACACCCGATCATTACCGATGTAATGTTAGTGATTGCTCACGGGTCGTTTGTTTGGCCTGCGTTGTTGTTGCCGGGGTGTATTTCACCTTGTTTGTTTATGTTCGCAGAATTGTTTTTCCCCAAATTTTGGTGAGTTTTTAAATTCTTATTTCCGTAACGAGTTTCTGTGATTTTTCTGGTTGTTGTTGTTGTTGTTGTTGTTTTTTTTTTTTTTTTTTTTTTTGCCTTGTTCGTGGAGTTGCAGAAGTTGGTCGTGCTCGCAGATGTTTTTCCTCTGAACAGTGCATCTGCGAACCTTGATTGTTCCCAATCCAATGAGTAGTGCACCATCGGTGTGTCCATGAGCATTGAAGTGCCAGCCAGCGAGCACACATCAGCGTATTCCTCTGACGTGACCGTTTTCCAGCTCAACATCGTGCACTAGATCAAGGTGAATGACTTTCTTGCTTTGTTGTTCTCTCTCCCTTTTCCATTGTTGATTTGTCACCTTCTCCTCTCCAAAATTTCTTGATGATGGATCGTGCATGAAAGGACTTCTGACTGTGATTATGTACCTTGTGAACATTCCCGCTGTGTGTACTCCTTTCCCCTCTATGCTCAATCCAAGTTTGATGTGACTTTTGCACTGACTATGTTTCCTCTTCCTTCACACTCTTTCCCTCTCCTTTGTCATCCTTCGATCCTCCTCTGTCATGGTGCATATTGCTTGGTTGGGAGACAAACAAGAGGAGAGGCTCTTTTCCTCTCCTTGGTCGTTCTCCATTCCTCCTCTCTCATGGTGCTTATTGTTGGGTTGGGAGACGAAGAAGAAGAGAGCACCTCAAAACACGAAGAAGCACAACGCTTGTCCAAACTGTCATATTGCGTTTTGTTTTTTGCCATTTTGAACTCAAAATTTGATGGGGCTGCACTTCTTTTTTCTTTTAATGCTATTGCTGCAGGCTCAATGTTGTATTATTTACGTGGATGCAACGCATAGTAACATCATTATCGTCCAAAAAAATATCATTCTTTTTTCCTTTTATTTTGTCCTTCGATCCTCTTCATTCCTTGTAGTTCTTTTTGGTGAGAAAGACTAAGAACTTTTAATATTGTTCTCCTTGCTTATTGAGTATAAGTACGTGCACATTACTGTTGCCAATCAAACATATCGTTGAAACTCTAGCATTTCAGCAGGTGTATCGATGTGAGTATTGCAGTACACTTATCTTGTCTATCGGTACTAGCTAACCTCACGGAGAAAATGGAAAGTTAAAGACGTAACATGGCTAGAGAGGATGATGATGGTGTGCAAATGGCGAAAGTCATCACAAGAGCACTGGCTGTTCTTGAGCCTATACATAGCGTAGTGCCATTAAGGTTTTCAGAGTTGGTGAGGAGAATTGCAGCAGAAGCAGGATGTTGCCCATGGATGGTTGTTGGCCCCATCATCTCGGTAGCTGGGCTTATGATGGGATGTCGAACGTACACGCTGTCGAGCGCATCGGCCCTCCCGTGAAAACGAGGGCCCTCCCGGCCATGTCACGGAGGAGTGTACCTAAAAACACATCTTTTAGAGACAATTCGGGAACGACGCATACTGTTCTGTGAACCGCCGAGACGGACACGGTTGCTTCGCTCCCTCGCTGCCATAGCCGGGTGCGCCAGCTATACATCCCACGGTCCCCTACGACAGGACAGGTTCCCACGGGGCATAAGCTTGCATCCCTAAGGGGTTGTCACCACCCTTAGGGGCATATCCCTACCGAGCTACTGATCCACGTGTGAAGGCTTTTAAATGCAATCGCAGAGGTAGATCAGGCGATGGCGTTTGCTCGTCTCACTGCAGTATAGGAATTGTTTGACTAAACGCCGAATAAATCCATGCGTTGTTCGTTCCCTGGGCCGCTGATATCCCAAGTACGAAGCGTACGCCGGTCGACTAGGATAGTCTCAACCAAACGTGAAAATGATCCTTAGTCCCTAGCATTCAAACAACAAAATCCTCATACTTAAAACAAAATCACACAATCTAAATCGTTGACTTGAGGAGCTGGTTTGCCAAAGTGTCTCTTTTTCAACCTGTATGACTGAAAGAACTTTTATATTGTCGTTCCAAAATTATTAATTTAAAGAAATAAACTAAGACTGATCTTATTATCATGACTACTGAAACTTGTCATGAATAGCTTTTGTAAATAAATATCACTGGCACCATGCAGATCAACAAATGATCTGGTTTTTTGTCGATGTTTGAACTCCCAGTTTGGCCGGTTTGACCGCGCTTCCGTACCATATTCAACTATTTGGATGAGCAAATGACAATTTTGTTGGTCGCTTTGCCTTTCCTGGATAATAATTACTCTTTCTGTTTCACGAATGATGGAGTATCCATCTCTAATGCCAAGTTACGCAATGCAGGAATATTTCATCTTCCGCTGCTTTGCTTGACAACCTTTTCAGACGTTCGCTTCTCACTCTATCCAACTTATTTTTATGCGAACGATTACCCCTCAATGCATAAGCATGATAGTGAAATCATCGGGGTAATCCGAACACTATCCATCAGGCGGTCATAACTACATAAAGTGTTTTGTTTTTGTTTTTAGATTACCTCGTGAAACCATAAGTTATATGGTTTCGTCAACGGGACTGAATCCATGCGAAGCGTTTTTTGAAATCTGAGTAAGATTTCAGAAGACGATGTCTAATTCTGGTAAATCTCTCGCCCGTCGCGCACCTGTGTCTCCAGTAAATTCAAACGTGCCTGCTCGTCGTCGTCGAAAATCAAAGTAGACATTCGTCCACGTCGCATAACTCTAACAATTTGAGTATTATAGAAGGAGGTCATCCGAGAGGCTAGTCTCCAAACTATAACTCGGAGAGGTCGACTAAGTCCAAACAGATGTCGAGTCTCTGTGTCCTGGATCCGGACGACGCCGAAACGCCTACCGGATGAGGTAATCTTGATATTCACAATGACTCGAGAGAGATATTGAAGATCACTCGCGCGGTGAAAATACAAAGTATAACCGTAAAGCTCGTCGGAAGTTCGAGCCGTGTTGGCTCTGAAATCCGCGCGAGTGTTAGGGAAAAATCCCTCGTCATTCGGAGCAATCCAATGAAGCCGATCCATTCGGTAGGAGATCCATCTCGAACTCGTAAAAGTCGCTCTGCACTCCTGATGAGATCTTCCTTGGGCGTATCGTGAACCAGCAGGTACCTCGAAATTGTCAAATCTCGTCGAGCTTGAGGCATCTGCGTATCAGAACGAATCCAAATCAATCACGTAAAAAATTCTCGAGTTCTTCCGCTTAATTTTCCAATTCATCATCATATAATGTTTCAGCCCCTATAATTGCGTACCTATTGGCACATATCCGCTAGCCTTGTCGCTCGTTCAACCAAAGCACGTAACGGACGAACATCAACCATATTTCAGGGATTTCGTCCACTCGTGTGTTGATCTCATAGGGATGCAACACCACCAGGTTCATATTGACGAAGTGACGCTCAGGCAATGGCGGTGTGAACTCGTAATGAAGAATATCCAGGCCGTTATCACTCCTGAAAACAAATCGTTTTGGGGGGTCTTTGCGCACTACCACCCCGAAATCGCGGAATGTCCTCCTCAGAATATAATTTTGAAGGATTATAAATAAGTCGGCCTACCCTTTCTACCCTCACTCCATCACACCTTTGGATTTCAACTCTCTCCGCTGCCGCATCACGATTGTTGAAAATGAATAGTTCCGTGGTTCCCATAGCTATCTGAAAGAAAAAGAAGACAAATGTGTTTTGAGTTGAACTTTTGCCCTTGAGTATTATTCGGTTTTTGTTTTTCTTACGGCCCGTGTTTCTTATGACACGACCAACCACGTCAGGAGTATCTAACTGTACTCCGTTCAGTTAGTAGGACATGAGTCGGGCTGCTTGTGGCGCGAACTCTCCATACGGTAGTGGTACCTAGGATGACCACTTAAACAGGATTGCTAAGGTAGTTTTACTTTTTCGCAAGGCGTCAAGAAATAAATTTTCTTCCGTGTGGATGCCTTTCCATTACCCTAGGAGGTGGTCTGGGATACTCCTTCTCCTCGCCCGAGTACAAAACTCGGATCTCAGAAGTTGGACCGCCTTTCCATTACCCTAGGAGGTGGTCTGGGATACTCCTTCTCCTCGCCCGAGTACAAAACTCGGATCTCAGAAGTTGGACCGTCTCCACCGAATCGGCATAGTACCCTCCCGCAAAGCGGTCCACTCTGAGTCGATAACAGGGCCGGCCCCTAAGGCAACGAACTCCCGCCCTAGATGCCTCCTAGAAAAATAGAAAAACACCTACAAGGCAGACAAGTAAAGTCTTGCCGCCTAGCGTCAAAATAAACTTAGACGAAGAAAGCGGTATCGTAGAAAGATAGAATCATTCAGACTGACAGGCATAGATGGAAGAGGGTTATTCGGAAAAAAATGGGTAACCTCAGGAATAAGTCTAAACCAAGTTGAATTTCTCTTCCTTATGCTCGCTTCGTTTCTCGTCGTCTTCTTTTTCTTTTATTTATACATAGAACACAAACACAAAGATGAAAAGTCAACCATTCTTTCACCGTTATTACCCTCATCCATTTCAGTTCATTTGTCGTACCTACAGTCAAAACCCAACGACACACAGACCACCATGCATTCCTTTACCATTGTCAGACTCCCAGTCATACACACAAGAACACATATCCTCTTCCCTTTTTCAATGAACATTCAATGAAACAGGTCAAAGCAAGTGTGGGTTCACTCAGGTGTGAAGGGAACTGAGTCAATTTAACTGACTGACCTTGAGTGAAATTGAAGAAACGGCCCACTCAGGTGTGAAGGGAACTGAGTCAATTTAACTGACTGACCTTGAGTGAAATTGAAGAAACGGCCCACTCAGGAAGACCGTGTAAATCACACCCCAGAGAAGACGATCGTCACAATGAGTCGTCCGCAAAACAATCCACACCACTCCTTAGAACGATCGCTTGTCGCGACACCCTGCGTCGCTGCTGTAAAATTTTCGCAGCACTCCCGCACTACGGCTGGTTAAACCGGAGTCACCGTCGAAAGATTTTGACAGCGCTACCGCACCACCGCCGAAAAACCCAGAACCGCCGCCGTAGAAAACCCGGTGGCGCTTCCGCACCACCACTGAAAAACCGGGCTTGCCGCCGCAAAAAACCGGCAGCGCGTCCGCACCACCGCTGAAAAACCAGGCCTGCTGCCACAAAAAACCGGCAGCGCTTCCGCATCACCATTGAAAAACCAGGCCTGCCGCCGCAAAAAAAACCGGTAGCGCTTCCGCACCACCGCAGTGAAACCAGGCCTGGTTTTTCAACGCCGCAAAAAAAACCGACAGCGCTGCAGCAAAAAACCGGCAGCGCTTCCGCACCACCGCAGTGAAACCAGGCATGCTGCCGCAAAAAACCCGGCAGCGCTTCCGCAGCACCGCAGTGAAGGCCTGTGCCGCCGCAGCAAAATTTCGGCAGCACTCCCGTACCACCGCAGTAAAAGCCTGTGCCGCCTGCCCGTAGTAACGCAATGCCACCAGGCCTGTCCCGTGGGACCAGCACCAGCCAAAGGGGGGGAGAGCAGAGTGCTCCCTGCCTTGGCTATGGCTGCCCAGTCCTCCTCCTGGTGCTCCTCTGCAATCCTCCAGCTCCTCACGTTGCCTCAGCAGCAGCTCCAACAGCCACAACACTCAAGTGTGCCCGTCACACACTGGCAGCACGAGTGCTTTGTGTGGCAGCTGGGGGGCAGCTGCCTTTTTTATATTGGCTGAAGAGAGTTGGACGTCACTCCAGCCCCCAGGCAAAAACGCGGGCTCACTGGCCTAGATCCAGGGCTGACTGTGGCCGCACCACAGCCACAGCCTTAGTGTGGGGCAGTTTCTTTAACTGCCCCATTTTTATTTTTCTTTTCTTTTTCCCAGCTATCTCGGAATCTGGCGAGATAGCTGGTCTCCTGCCATTTCCAAAACACTTTTTCTTTTCTTTTCCTGATAAGGGGTTGGAGAGATACAGCCCCTTACAGTTTGATGTACCCGGACCCTTTTTTCCAGGGCAGATACATCGAGGAAAAGGCTGTATCTAGCCTTTTCCTCAGTGTCCCCTCAATTTCCAGGCTCCCTACAAAAACGGGAGCCTGACAGTTACCTCTGGCAGCCACTTGAGGACAAGTGTCCTCACTCAAAAATAAAGGAAAGAAAGAAAAAAAAACTAACTTTCAAATTTCTAGTGAACCTGGCTTTTACCTCAGCCAGGTTCATGTTGTTGCTTGCAACAGCCCTCCTTTTTTCTTTGCCCTCCCCTGAAAACGGGGAGGGTAGTTGTCAGGTTGGGAGAGGTAGGACCTCCCCTTCCTAACTCCCACGTCCCTCTTTTCCCTCACTGTTCCACGCGGGCACTGTGGGCCACGAGATCTGAGATCTCACGGCCACAGTCAATTTCCCCAAAAAACAAAGTGGGAGCATTTGTGCTCCTACACAGTTTGAAAGACTGTTTCTTTGATCCACGAGACGGTTGCCTCGTTTTTGTTTCACTATTTTTTTTTTAAGTTTTCTCGTTTCATCCGCCCCCCATTTTTGCCTTGTTGGCTGTGGCGTCAACGGCCACAAACGGGAGAAAACAGAAAAAGAGAAATAAACCAATTATAAAGAAGAAAAAAATAAAAATAAAATAAAATAAAATAAACTTACCTGAGTAGTTGAAGTAGCAGCAGTGGCTTGGCCACTGTATGGGGAATGTATTCTCCCACTTTCTGGTGGGAGATTCATTCGTTTTTGCTTATCCTATGGTTGGCTTCCTCGACGAGGAGCCAACCTTAGGTAGGCATGTAGGTAGGTAGGTAGGTCGTAGGTGGCCTTTTTTTCTCTCTCTCTCTCTCTCTCTCTCTCTCTCTCTGTGTACCTAGACGCCCTTAGCGCCAGGTTCAGGCGCAGAAGCTGTTGTCCAGATTGTCGAGGCTCAGCATCCTGATGAATCGGTGAGATTCCGACGAAACATCCTGGCACAGAGCTACCCGTTCGTTCAAAACGAACGGGTGCCCAACAAAACTTAAAAAAAAAAGAAAAGAAGACAAAAAGAAAAAAAACAAAAGAAGAAATCTAAACCGAATCTAAGAAAAAAAATCTAAGATCAAAAGAAAAGAAAAAAAAACAATAAAAAAAACTATCCTACCTGAGACGAAACGGCTGCCCGTTCAAAACGGGCGCCCTCTGAAACTGCTAAGTACTACAGTCCTCAGCCTTTGTTCCCTGGTCGCTATTTGGCGCCGCCATGTTAAGGCCGTTGTCCGATTTGGGTCCATGCTGATCTGCGCGCGGCCGATCTGGACCGCGCGATCTTCAGATCGGGCGGTCGAGGTAGACCTCGCTTCTATAAAAAACGGGCAGCTCCAAAAGGAGCTAGCCCGACAGTATCACGAGTGAGATTCGATCCCCATATCAGCGGGGTGAGAGTTGAGTGTGTTATCCTACTGGGCTAGCTCCTGTTTCACACTAAATAGGAGTTGCTCTTCAATATGAAGAGCTTAGCCCAGGTAACATCCCAACCTGCGTCTTTGCAGGCTCCGCCCGTGTGTGGCCTAGCAGTCCTGCCCCGGCTGTGGCTTAGCAGGATTGCCCTGCCTGTGGCCTGCTGGCTTACCGGTTAGTCGTGTGGCCGCGGCTGGGTCGGCCATCGAACCGGGTAAGTCTTGGTATTGGCCTATTGGTCCCAAGGCTCGACGTCAAAACCCGCGGCCTGCGTCGCGGCCCTATACCCCGCGCAACCCTCTTTTTAGCCCACTTAAGCCCTGAATCGTAGCCTTGTCGTTCACATCTGATACTCTGGCAAACGTCAGTCTCATCAAGTCCTTCAATTCAATGCAAGAGTCGGACAACGTCCGACGTTCAAAAACACCGGCAAATACCCTTGTCAGGGTTTTTGCCCCGACAACGCTTCTATCCGACAATACATGGTTTGAAAAACCTATTTTCTGGTCAGTTGTTCTCGCCTTCAGTGGAATGAACAAGTCGCCAGCGCATCAGAGAATACTAGCTGCACTGAATAGAGCTGAATCTCATATTCAGAAGATTGTTTCTGCGAAGACAACTCCGCAGAACACTGCAACAATGGTGGACAAGGATGGAAATCCATTGAGCGAGAAGAAACTCAACTTCAACTTGACCGGGGTAAGCGATTATGCTCTTTATTTCTCTGACAACGTATTACAACTTACATTTTTCCTTGATTCAGTCCGAAAATTATGTGGAGGTTTCCAGCTACGCAAAGTCTTTAAGGAAAGGTCCACACTAACTTCTTTCCAGCTATGCAAAGTCTTTAAGGAAAGGTGTACACTAACTTCTCTCGGTAACCAGTTCACTATTCGACCACAATGATAATTTTCATCTTGCTTCACTCTTTTTTTTTTTTGTGGAAATTTTTGTACTTCAAAGGCAGACCAGTCTGTATTCTTAACTCTATATTATCTGTTTCCTAGTTCTTTTGCTTTTTCACGAACCTGTCACTACTCTAGTGTATATCGGCTAGGCTGGGCCGTCGCCCGGCCAGGCTTGCCCTGGCCAGCTGGGCCGGTGGGGATCGCCCGACAAAACCAGGCAGGCCAAAAAAGATGGAAGGATCCCCCCAAAAAAGAAACTGACTTCAGGACAGGACTGCGCTCGACATGAGCAGTCAGAATCCGGCCTTACCTTCCATTTCGATGGTGGGCCACCCAGGGGTGTTTGGGGGGTATAAAGTTAATCTAAACAGTGGCTAGAGGGGTTTAAAAGGGTATATCTTACCTCATTTCTCCTCATTTATTTTTATCTTAAAATTAATAAGGAATTTTGAGGGGACTCTCAACCAAAAGTTGCTTGTGCTGCAATTTTACACAACATATTTTTTTTTCGGATCTTTTTGAATTTCTGATTTTTTTTTTTTTTTAATATTGTGCGCTGGGGCTGCCTGGGACCTTGCCCGGACCCTGCCCGGCCCGGGCCGCCGGGGAGGGTACCCGGGTGACTTTCCTCCAGCCGGGCCGCCTGGGGACCAGGTTAGTATATTGGTGTAAAGAGGAACATTGACAAGGGACAATGAAGGTTCAAATGAGGAGGGGGAGGAAGGGTGACGACACTATGGAAGTAGCGGGAGGAGGGATGATGACAAAGAGGGAACAGGGGGACGAGGGATCACGACGATGTGGCTCTTTGTTTTTGTAGTTTTTTTTTTAACATCACATGAATTTTTCCATAATTAAAAAAAAAAAATTGTGAGCTACTCCGTCATCTTGGGCGAAGAGGACCGAGCGCTACTGCTACAATGGTGTCAGCGAGGAGCAGTAGGAGTGGCGGCGAAGATGATGAGCGGTATCGATCAGGAGATGGACCCCAACTGGGAGAAGGATGATGGGCGAGAGCGGGTAACTAAGATTGGCAGGAGGAGAAGCACGGGGGACCTAAGGTAACGCCCGATATTGTCATTATATGCTTACCGTTATGCTCGATCTCTTTGTTACTCTTTTTTCTCATCTCTCTCTTATTTAAGTTTCCCTGTTTTTCCCTCTTTCGGTATGCACATGATTGTAAATATTATTCCAACCATCAATGCCTAACCACACTGTACTTTTTGCTATGCAGAAAACATTTGAAAGAATGTTCGAAGCCCTGCAGGAAAATGTGAACCCTGAACTTGTTGCATTGGAGGATGAACTTGCGACGATATTCAGCAAAATGGATCTTTGCCACAAACCAGCACAAGGTGGAGTAGGACTTGACAGGTCTAGTTTGTTGAGTCTGAAACAAGGAGGAAGGTGGGAAATGCGAACCGTTAGCAATTCGAAATGTCATCTATCCCGCACACATGTGATATTCAGTGGTTATATACAACCTGAGAGGTTTCAGATGCTTCATGCAAACAAAGCTGATGGGTTGATGAATCGATTCCATGTTTTTATCCCCGAAGTTTTCATGGAAAGTTACGCTCCACCAGTGTCAGGTGTAAAACGTCTGCGACATATCACCAAATCAGGTCAAACGAGCGATGTGCTTGTTGACTTAGATGAACATCTATCTGTTCCAAGTCGATCAACCCTCTTGTTAGCAGAGGTATGTTATTCTTATTGCCCTTCGTGTTCTTGCCAAGCTTTGTGTGAGTCATTTCTTTAATGTTTGCTTATCTGTCTGTATGAATATATTCTGATTGCATTTATTTTTTTCACCTGTGGATGATGCATTACGTTACACATAGTTCGAACGACGGATCAGTTGATATGAAAGGCTATCATGTCCACCGGTGCTTGGCAGGTCTACTGTGCAAGGATGTTTTCCGGAGATCGATTACAAAACTCCCCTAGTGCAAAGCATTATTATATCACTAATGTAAATGCAAGAACTGAGTTCAAATTTTGGGCGAGTCAAAGGAAGGGTCAAAATATTTGGTCAAAGGTCAGAAAGAGGGGCCAAAAGTCGAATCCTGACTCCCTTAGAGGTCTGAGAAAGTCCTTTGGGACAAGGGCTACTACGCCCTGAGTAAAAAGTTGCGTCCAGTACCCCAGGCCTGGTAGTTGACTCTTGGAAAATCAAGAGTCAGACCCTGACAGGAAATGCAGGCCCAAAGTCAATGGCTCCCAGTAGTCAGCCACGGTCGTAGATCAGATGCACATCAAAGGTTGTATGCAGGTTTTTAAAAGATTCGAGTTCCAACGGGGACACTAGACATCTGTAAGAGCATTGCATCCAGACCGTCAACTTTAGGAAAATCTCTGTCGTCGACACGGTCCAATGTGAGGCTGGTCAACGTCAGTCAACACTATAAGAAGAAAATCAGGGCGAGTTGCTGCTCGCAAGGTTAGAAAGCAAGGTGTTGGTGCCAGATGCTGTTGGAGGGCACCTGCCTTAATAGAGGACATGTTGGTGTGGCCATAGCTGCCATAGCCATAGCTGTAGGTGGTGAGGTGGTGAGGTGGGCGAGGAGTAGGAGGATGCAGTGTATGGGACTGATGACAGGTTCGAGGGGAAGCTTACGCGAACTTGCGGTCATTGTGATTCAGTTGGTGACAGTCTCTACGAAGGGGAAGAATAGCACCGCCATCCTCCATAGCTAATCTTGAACATCTGTAGGAGGAAGAGCGCTTTGCTGGTATCTGCACAGTGACTATGTCAGCGTCGTCAGAAGGAGAACATGCATTGATGAGGTGGGGATAGGGAAGAAGCCTGAAGTAGAAGTGAGACTGAAGAGTGACATACTTGTAATATTGCTTATTAATGTAGTTTTTTTTCTCTCTTCTCTCTATGTCCTCTACCCTATCCTTTTTGCTCTTATATAATGGTTCGCTGCAGCTGAAATGTGCAATCAATCTTGATATGGATTTGTGATCATTTTTGGAGACTTCATAATGAGCGCTGGTTTCAGACTTGTGTGACATTGCTAATCGGCTTCTTAACTGGATTGAGTGCATTATATAAATTATATATTTAAAAAATGTATCTCGGTTTTAATATTATTCTAATTTATTTGTCCTGTCTGTGCAATTTCATTGTGTATTTGTGCAGCTCTTCAGATGCATCTGGCTTATCCACCACGATGTTGAAAATCATGGTGTAGCAAGAAAGCACCAATACTGGATTGAGGACCGTACATTAGAAAACTCCATACTTGAGTTCAACCGCATACAGAGCATCCTCTGAACATTGCACAGACGACATTGCCTTGGAAAAGAAGGCAAGACTATAAGCATTCTTCACCTGTCAATTTGAATTTGTTCGTTTGTAATTGTTGAGCTAGTTCTTGGTGTGAGCAGAACTGCATCCTTTCGAGCCTAATTTGAACGACTTTCACTTATTTAGAAACTATATATTTTTTTGCACTTCATGCTCATTATTTAGGAAATATTCTTGCATTGAGCGAAATGAAAGTTTGAGTAAGTAGCATGATCATTTCTATTAGCTAAATATAATATCATAATATTTCAAACCCGACCTCGTTTTGTCCTTCGAACTTAGTTGTTTATTTTTGCAATTTTAGTCCTCTTCCCCCCCCCCCAAAAAAAACAGAATCTTATGGTTCTTGGTTCATATCTATTATAAGGAGCATCAGCCCGATTCCTTTTCCACCCACAAGTCAAATATTTAGACCAATAGAACACCTGTACACTTCTCCCAATCGATTGCTTCTGAAAGAAATGATGTATCTCCCCTCAGCCCTACATAAGTTAGCCTGTCGATCTAATGCCTCTGTTCCGTTTGGCCATTAACTCAATCCCATCTGATCATGAGCTGAGTCTAAACCGGATTTGACTGCTCATCTTAACTGATTCTGCTTTGAGTCAGGCTTCACTTTATAAAGCCTTGCTTATATATGATCTCGTGTATGTTGGAACCTAATGACCTTTGTTGTCTTTCTTACGCAAAAGTTACTTTTATTTCTAGTGTCGTCATATAAGATAGGATCCTGGTGAGACTTGTTCTAAACACGGCAACAAGTACACGCATGCTTTCGGGACTTATGAGATAGGATGCTTGGGATGGATGCTTCAATGAGTTTGAGGGATAAAATTGCATGTGGTTTTAGTACGGGGGATACAGTCTTAACACAGTTAAGGGTTAGGGTACTACCGTACTAGCAATAGTTTAGGTTGTTTTAGTCTCGTAGTGGGACAATGCGACAAGGACTTAGGAGACGCAGAAGGCGGAACTGTTGGGGCAAAGGACTATACGATTGCTGCCGCTGATGCATGAGGTGTAGCTGCTGCAGTAGCTGTTGCATCTGCTTCACCAGGTCCATCTTGTGGACTAACTGCACAAGATGCAATAGTTGCATCAAGTGCAACTGCTGCAGTAGCTGCAGCAGTTGCAACAGTTGCATCAGCTAGGTGCAACAGTTGCAGCTACTGCAGTGGCTGTATCTGGTCCACACTTCTTTTATAGTCTTTTTCTTTTTTTTTCTCATCTGCACATGTTGCACCTCTTGCAGTTACTAAAGATGTGGGCCCCCACCCCCCCACGCCCCCTTCCTATGTTTTTTTTTTTTTTTTTTTGCTCGCTGCAATGGTCTGAGCCGCAAATGGGAGGTTAATTAGGTTCCGGGTATTTCGTGCAGGTAGAATTACAAGTTGAACCAGCCTTTTCACCCGCTGTTATGCCCAGTTTTTCACTGGCTAGTTTGTAGGGTACTGATTTTTTAATAATCTGCTATTTTTTATCTGGCGAATTCTACACATCCAACAATTGTGTTGGATTTTTGTTCCACAGGCTGTGGATTTTAGTTCCCACGATATGCTTTATGACAATGATAGGGTTTTCAGGGATGGCGCTGGACTCTTCAAATGCTAATACGCATCTCATTTCCAAAGTGTCGTAGAGAGTTTCTTTTTCGGATTAGTGAGAAGAAGATAAGTTGAAATGGTTAACGTTTCTATTTTGTAATCTTAAAAACTTGTCTGATTCTAGCCTACCAAAATCGTCCGGGACCCCACTTGTGTGGTCGGGCCAATATATAGATAGATAGATAGATAGATAGATAGATAGATCGATAGATCGATAGATAGGTAGATAGATCGATAGATAGATAGATATAGCGGCGTGTTTGGAGTGTATTTTTTGGCTGTGACAGACCTTTCTTTGTTTCGTGGATGTTTTGCTGGCTTGTGATGGGGTGTGAACCGACAGTCTGTAGAGTTTTCCATCTGGTGTGGGTGAGTGATAGTCTACTTTGATTTTGGTT